CTACGTTTCACGGGGAGAACACCGTCGTTGTATTGGACTTTTAATTATTTCTATATATTCAGGCGTTTACGAAAACAAAGCGAACTCCGGCAACTTTTTACCGAGCAATTATATATCTCATTGCGTTTTTATCCCTCGACGTTGTAAAAACTGTCCGACGGTTTGGGGCTTATGGTAACGAAACGTTTCAGTAGTTCAGTACGTCATGCAGGTGGTCGTTTCGAGTGGTCACCAGTCTTTGACAGTAGCGAGTAGTGACACTGCCAAATATGTATTATAATATATTGACGATTACCCCGCAGTCGTTTGTAACGGGATAAACCGTCACTATATCAAAATGGTCCTTTTCAGGACCACTTAACACAACAGTATGGCAACGTAATACGACACAAGTAATAGACGCGACATATTAGAATAAGTAGTTTGTCAACAGGAAAGGTTCACGGAAATAACAAGCGAAAACCACATTAACAAAACGAACACCAACGGGTCGAGGTGTGGTTATTGCTTGTCAAAGCAACCAGCCTCGACCAATCACAGGACAACAAAGAGAAACAAATAGTATATATACCGGGACAGTTTACCGGTCAAATCATCTTCCACACCAGTCTTCAACATATCTTCTACAAGTCAACACTCAACAAGCACTATAGAAGACCCGAAGACCTGAAGACCCGAAGACTATCAACGCAGCAGCAACACCGACCCGAACGACGCCGGCGAAGCAGATCCGACCTAACCAGTCCACAACGACGCACCCTGAACGCACCGGTCTAGCGTGATCACTCGATACCGCCGAGACTCAATAGTACCCGGCATACCTGGCTAACAAGCGCCACTTCACCGACTGACGACGCCAAGCCTACCGTGTGCATCCAGCGATCGACGACAACGGATAGCCGCCACACCGGGACCTGATTAACCCATCGACGGCAGCGTATAATACAAATTACAATTATACTCCGGCGATTCATTACTGTCAGTCCACCCGTTCATTCGAGTCCGGTCACGCCATCGGACGAACACCAAGACACGCCGGGAACCGACTTCGCGACGTAGCTTGGCCAATCGACTATTCAGCAAGCCGACAAGTAATACCACGTTCCCCCCTACGGTGAGCTTATTCGAGTTTCACCGCGAGGAAGAACCGAACCCACACGACTAGGGATGGCAATTTTTTTTTGAACATCGATGTTTCGATGTATCGATGTATATTTTACTATACATCGATGGTGACAATATCGACAATTTAAAAAAACATCGAAGTCAAGAACTCGATGTATTTGGAAAAACATCGATATTTAAAAAAAAAAAAAAAAACATACTTTTTATAGGATAAAATTAATTATTATATATTATAATGTTAGGAACTGAACAATTTTAAAAATATTTATTTTATGAAATATCGAAGAATATCGAAGACAAGGCAAACATCGAAATTAAAACATCGGTAAACATAAACCTCGATGCAAAACATCGAAACTTAACCATCGATGTCAAACATCGATGTTTCCAAAACATCGATGTATCGTTGCCATCCCTACACACGACTTGCTCGAGTCCGTGCACGGACGGTTCCTACTCTCCCCTATTATTGTATTATTTCTACAATACGTATAGGCAAGTCCCGACTATTGTTTTGCTCGCGCCTCTTCAGGCCCGAACCCGCCCGCCGCGGCCGCTTCTTCAAGCCTGCCGCGCGGCCCGGGATAACTTGCCCCGATCATTATAAACATTATTCATTGGTTATATAATAAACGATACCATAACAATACACAACGCATTGTTATTCACGATCACGGACGTCCCGGAAAGACGCTCCGTATCACGTTATGTAACCAAATCTGTCTTTGAAAAATAATAATAGAAATAGCATACCTAGTTGACCCCAGATGTTTTCGAATCATCGCCGTTGTAATCGTAAAAGGCATTGTCAAACGTTCGTTGGTCGGAGTGATTGTTAGTAAAAGGGTAAAAAACAAAATAAAATTGAAAATAACGACGACAGACACATATTATTGTATATATATATTATATACCTCTATTCCGTCGGCGGTGTGTGTCTCGTGTCGGATTTCGGTCAAACAATATTATGTACCTGCAGCTATATAACGCGCGGCGGCAAAGCACGTCATCACACGAGACATTTGGAGCGCCGCCGCCGCTGCAGTCTGCAAAACACTAAAAAACGATGACTTATGAATATAAATAGATTATTATTATTATTATTGAAATGACGGGACGTTTGTTGGAACGCCATCGTTCTGTATACGCATATACATAATATTATACTATAAGGTACGTAATAAAAAAAATAATAATACACGACTGCGAGTGCCCATATAATTTTTCACCAATCATACTAGAATTTTATGAATTATTATGAAATTTTATTTATTATTTTTGTATCCGTAGGTTTGCAGATATTATTAAATCATTTAAATTTAATTTTGAGGAATTAATTAACCTCACAACGTAAATCTATCCAAATAAATAATAGAAATGTTAGTTCAATTAGTAATTACTAAGTAAGAAAAGATTAAACTAATTAACACAATTTTTTTACTATTTCAATCATTTCTATTATTTATTTGGATAGATTTACGTTGTGAGGTTAATTAATTCCTCAAAATTAAATTTAAATGATTTAATAATATCTGCAAACCAACGGATACAAAAATAATAAATAAAATTCTATTATGATTGGTGAAAAATTCAATAATTTTAATCGAAACTTTGACTGGTTGCCATTTAGTCAATTTTGATTTTAGAGCTATGGCAAAAAGGACTAAATCGACTTAAAAAAATTCGATCTATCCGAATTTGGTATTCAAAACACCTGTTGCCATTTAAAAAAATGTAAGTTGTATTGCGCATGCGCACACGGAAAGATCTAAAAATGTAAAAATCATTAAGAAATGTGTATTTATGTATTCCCTATCCCCTCCTGAAAACCGCATATTAAGCCGATGTCACTGGACAGAATTATTTAGTGTTACTTTTAAAAGGAAACACACTGTATAATTAAACTCTACTTTAGAAGGTTTATAATTTTTTTTATTAAGAGTATACTACACATCCGTTTGTTGTCTCACCAACACCAACCTTTGTATTGCGAACCTACGACATAGCAAATTTTCATTCACTATTTTCAATAATGTGATGTTAGTTTTTTTATCAGAGTGAATGGCAATGGTCAATTATTAATATTTACTATGGACCTATTGTTAACATTTTAGTTTAGAACATTAGCTGTGCTTGAGCGTCGGCTTTTATTCGATATTTAAATTTTCAAGCAAGATATGAAACATCACAAATTAAAAGTGCTCTTCTCCCGCTCGAAAATTAAAATATGGAATAAAAGCTGACGCTTAAGCACAGACAATGTTCTTAACTAAAAGTTTAGTAATAGGTCAATACACTCTAATATCAAAGCTCACAGCACACTATTGTAACTAGTGAACGAATATTTGCTATGTCGCTCGTATGTAAAGCAGATAACAAAATGATGGGTAACGTCCAGATATAATTTTAAAAAAGTAAAATAAAATCGTTAAAAACGTAATTTTAGAAATAAAATAATATTTTTTAGAAAATAAAATTTCTCAGACTCATTAAATTTATGTTTAATCATTAAACCGAATTAGAGATATTTTTTTATCGATTTAAATATATCAAGCTAGTGGTCCAAATTCCTCTATAATAATAGTGATAAATATCTAACCTTAGATTATCAAAAATAGTCCGTAGGATTAAAACAAATAAAATAAAATAGATACTTGGTGTGAACTGTGAAGATTATTTTTAAGACAATTAGACTTATATTAATTATTATTTCTTTTTCTTAACTCCAAATAAGATTTAGAGGTTTTTAAATTAATTAATCAATTAGTTGAATAAATGTATTTTTTTAAATAGGTGAACGGTGAACAAACTATACATGTTTATACATTATTTAAATTCAAATTTGATCGATAAAAACCAACGAATGGTAGCCAAATTATTGGGGTTAATAGTGACTTCTTGCAGTGGTTTTTTACAATTTATTAATGGCGAAAATGCATTATGTCAGCCTTCAATACTATTATTAGTTCTCGGCAGATCAGATTCAAGACGCTCTAAACAGTTCCATATTTCTATAGGATATTGCGGTTGTCGACGTCGACCTCTCCTGTCCAAAATTCCGATCCACGTAGTTTCGAAATAGGTGATTAGTGGAGTTAACATATTTTCATTTTCCATATAAAAATCGCTTTCCAACAAAACTTCAAAATAATTAACTACTTTGTCAATAGGTATAAAAGCAAGCGCTATTAATTTTCGAACTTGTAATGCAAAATTTACATCTTCTATATATTTTGTTGTCAATCCGTAGTTTTGAATTTTTCGCCAAACTGCTTGACTAAAATGAAAAAAACAGCCATGTATTTCTGTACTTGGAAATTCATTTTTGATAGAGTTCATTGCTGCTTTTTCAAAATCTGTTGTAAATGATTTCAGACATAAATCAAACTTAAGGGATTTTAATGCTTGAAACATTTTATTATACGTTACTTCTTTTTTATCGGGCAACAAAACATACACTAACAGTATTATTTCACCATAGTAAACTGCATGAATCGTATATAATTGCCCAAATAAATTTGGACAAGATGAAAACGTTCCATCCGAAAACCAATGATCCAAATTTCTTAATACGTTTAAACTTTTTTCTGTTGAAAATAATAGAATCCGATCGTCATAATTACCATTATCGCCACTGTCAAATAATAAAAATTATTCACTGTCTAACGTAATTTGGAATTTATTTGGAATTTCAAAATTGTAAGATTGAGGGTTTGCAGGACTGGCTTCCACCATTTTTCTAGACCGCTGTATTGTTTTCTTCAAGCATTTAATATTCGGTAGCTGTCCTACCACTGCACATGGTAACTAAAACAATATTAAACGAACAATATTAAATTATTTTGTAGTTAAAATGTTTAAAAATTATAAATTACCTAACCTGACGTTTCTCCCAGTATAGCTCTTGTAGTTGTTACTGTTGTTGTTGCGTATTCCTTTATTAGATTTATAGTTTTCTTAGCTTCAATTTTTGCAACGTCTGGTACATGATTATTATCTATGGATTTTATTATATCTCCTACAAGTACAATTGAGTGTTAAAAAAAATGGTCACTAATAATTTACAATATGTAGGTTCTTATAAAAAAAACCATAACTATTCGAGTAAGTTATATTTATAATCAATTATTTATAATAATTTTGTGTCTGACATCATCAAAATATGAAAAATAAAAATAAAGAAATAAAGAAATAATACATAGGTACCTTGCATTGTATGCGCTCGTCCTGGACAATTTTTAATTTCGTTGCATCTCCATATCATTTTTCTTTACCTTCTCTATCTTTTTTAGAAATAAATCCACCATGAACAAGGAGATCTTTTCCCCGTTGACTTTTTACAAACTCCAATGGGATGTTATAATTAATATTTTATTTATAAATAATATTACAGTATATAATATATTATACTATATTATTATACTATATATAATAATATTATTACTATATATAATAATATTATAGTAAAAAAACCAACTTCGTATTATTTTATTTTATTTTACTTAATATTATAATAAATAAAAAATTATACTTTTGTTGTGCGTCAAAATTGACTTGCGCCTAAAAGTGGTGGCGTTCAAATTGCATGCGTCGAAATGACGTATGCGTCCAATTGTCGTTCGTCCAAATGGCTGCGTCCATTTGACGTGCGTCAAGATTGCCGCGTCGAAATGACGCATATTCACGGTATACCTACTAGATATTTAGTATTTACATTCTTATAAATAGTTATTTTAACTAAATACTTATATTAATATATTATGAACTACAATGAAGTAAGTTGATTTAATTTTGTACAATTATAATTAATAATAATTAGGAATTCACCGTAGAACCGTTGTAGAAGTTCTTCATTTCAATTTCTACGTTTATATGCAGAGGCGCCCGCAGAAAATCAGCTCAGTGGGTGCAAAATTAAATTTATGTTATACATACATAGGTAGTCACATAATTTACATTATAATACAATAATTTTTTGGTTCATTAAAAAAATCCCAGTGTGTGCAATGGCACCTACTGGCCCCTCTCTGCGGGCGCCCCTTTTTATATGATGGCTTTAAAACTAAACCGTTTTGAAAGTTAAAACGCTCGCGCTATGTAGTTTAAGAACTTAAAACCGTTTTATTTGCATAAACCGGTTTATCAAATGTACATATACAAGTTTAAGCAAATAAAACGGTTTTAAGTTCTTAAACTACATAGCGCGAGCGTTTTAACGCCATCGTAGTAACTGACTAATATAAAATGACTAAATATTGAAATACGAGTATCTACCTACCTATATATATGACGATTGCCGGGATTACGGGAGTCTTTAAAATATAATAAATTTAGAATCCTAATTTTAACTTTAACACAATAATGATCGATTTTCAAAACTACCATGTTGATAATAATTGACTTGCGTGCTGAGATGGTTGTACAAGCAGCAGTAGAGAGCCTATAGATAGTAATGGCTAGGGCAGTGAAGTTGTTGCATTTGCATGTTTTTTTAAATGGTTATATATTTTATTGCTGAGTGAGCTTAAAATATGTTTCGTTAAACTCTTAATTTAAACAAAAAAAAAAATTATATTGCAATAAATGCAATTTTGGCGATTTTTTTAATTTTACTGCAATTTTAACTGTTTTTCATAATTTTCGTTTACATTTAAGATTATATAACTTAATATATAAAATAAAAGTAACTAAACGTAGCAGTGAACAAATTTCTATATTTGTTGTAGTAGGTACCTACTTATTATTTCTATAGAGCGATTATTGCATTTTGGTCGTTAAGATAAAAACTTGTCCCTCAATAACATATATTATTGTCTATCAGCATTCAGTTATATTTAAAAATACCAAAATTCTAACAGTAGTGGGGTTGCCGGAATCATCCGCACATCCTACTATTGTGAAAATTTTGTAGAATTAAAAAAAGTAATACAATCATTACATTTGTAACGGGCTGTGACTACGTACATATTAATAATAGTAATAATATATAAAATAATATATTATATTATTTTGTATTAAGTATAATACGATTATAATATATATATTATATTCAATAATAGATATAAATGCTGCAAGGAGGACGTAACCCCGGTAATAGTTATAATATAGGCATCCGGGCGGCCACATCAATAAGAACTAATTAACGGTACAGCGCGAACACGTGATAGGTATACGCGCGCAATATCCATATTCTAGGAAAGACGAAAAAGCCGTAAACAGTACAAATAGATAACTTTGGAAACATATAATCCGTAATTAACATTATTTCGTAGAGGACGCCCGAAATGACGTGAGGTGTACGCGGCTATGTACCATTTTTATACTAAAAATGCCATAGGAGGGATCTATTAGGAATACCGACGAAATACGTCGATGGACAAGCGTCCATCAGACGAACACCAGCCGAGACGACGAGCACCAGCAGAGCAGCCACAAAGTCGATACTAAGTCACATCCCGTTTACCACATTTTTATAAGTTAAAATATTTGGACTTAGTCTATTTTATGTGTTAAATAAATACAACTGAACTATCATTATAAAATCAACTTGTTATTTAATTCAAAATACGACCAAAACTGAGTTGAAGTGGTTGGCACGTTACAAATTCAAATGATGCTATTTCTATTGAACGAGCTCAACATCTTTTGTCGGATAGTTCTATGGAAACCAACTTGGCATTCATTCATTCCAATTATGGTTTCATACCAGCAGAAATCACTAAACTCGAAACCCAACATGTTCCATTAATCGAAGCTTTATCTATATATATCTAGTTAAAAACGTTGACACTAAAATAGAAAAAATTACGGGACAAAATGGAATATTAATAAACCAGAAATTCAAAACTATTTAAAAAAATTCTAAGTGGAGAAATACAGTCAATGGAGGGCTTGCCAGAAGACTTGACCAGCAACGATTTAATCTATTTCAAGTACGCTCCAATAACAACTACTGACTTAGAAAAAAGTTTCTCCCCCTACAAAAATTTGATCATTTGATTTTGAAAACTTAAAAAAATCATTTGTAGCGCAATGCAATATTGTAAGCAATATTGATATATAATTTTTATTATTATTATGTAATATGTATTAATATATTTAATTTTATTGCTTATAATTAATTTTTTTTAATTTTTTCAATGCAATTTTTAAATTTATAAGTGCAATTTTTAATATATTTTAATGCAATAACTTCACTGCCCTAGTAATGGCTCTCTAAGCAGCAGTCATATGCGTGTCTACAGTGGCAGCCTAGGCAGAGGCGGATCTAAGAATTTTTACGCCCGGGGAAAATATTAAAATTAAGCCCAATCATAGACCAAGATTGAAAATACAATATCATTCCCTACAAATTGTTTTATCATAACTGGAACTAAAATTACAAACATACTTATTAACTTTTAAACACATAATAATATATAGTAATTAATATATTCTGTGGACTGTGGTGTAACCAAGTTTATACTAATAAACTATCACACCAAAAACACTTTAAATTTAAAAACTTAGTTAACATATTGTTGATACATTTTTAATTACTGGAAATACTGTAGTGGTTACTTAATTGTATTTATTATTAGAAATAATAATAATATTAGTTATATATAAATGTTGAAAAATAATCAAAACTTTAATTAGGTACCTACCTATCCTGTATAAAAACCCTTTTGCTGTTTTGGTTCTATGCGCCTCAGCCTTCAATTATAATAGATTTTTATGGTAAAATATAAAATCTTTTATTCTGATTAGGGTACAGAATTTAGGCCAGTAAAAAATTGTATTTAATTAAACAATTTAATATAATAGAAAAAATGAAAAAGTACCTAAATGTTTAAAATCAAATTTTTTTTTTAAACATAAACAAATGTATAACTATCTTGGTAAATATTATAATATATAATATTATAAACTATATATTAACATCATTTTTAATATACAGATATAATATACGTATCGTACGTTGATTGATAATCTTATAACAGTTATTGTGTAGGTATCAGAAATTTTAACGAAAACACAGCATCAATAAATGCCTATGTACCTATAATTACTAGTTACATTTTCACTCGGAATCTTAATAATTATAGTATATTAGTTCATAGTTGTATATGCTTGCAGTAGGTATGCTAATGCCAGTATACCAGTATATACTTAGTATACTAATACGAATCTATTCATAATACCATTAACTTTATTTTTTTTTTCATTAATTCCAATGTCATCACTTTATCATAAACAAATAATGTGAAATAAAAATGTTTTCTTAACTTCTATCACCAAGCATTAAATAAAGAACTAAAGAAAAATTACGCCCACTAAAATTTTACGCCCGGGGATCAATCCCCGGCTTCACCCCCCTAGTTCCGCCACTGAGCCTAGGGTGCCTGGACTGCCCCTGCAATTTTGGAAAGGTTCCGGTCAACCGATTTTTTAATCAGAAGGGTCACAACATTTATTTTTTTTTTAAACTTGATTTATTTGTGTGTATCGTTATAATTACCATTTACTTACAAAGATATATTCAACAAAATTAGGTAGATAATATCTTTATATTTAACATTTATAGGTATTGTCAAATTGATTTCCTGACTTCGGAAATCGAAAAACCTACTATTATACAGACTTGATACAGACGACGACGGTACGGTACGCATCTATAGGTATTATTGATAATTATTATTATTATTAGGTTTGATTTGTAGCTAGGTAGGTGGGTGTAATCCAAGGCTGTAGAATGAAGATGAATAATATTTCTGAAGTTACTGTAGATCATTATTGTAAATAGATAAATTATATATATATTTCACTGTGGAGGAGCAGGGGGTTCTTAAAAAAAATACCACTTTGGGTGTATAGGGCTTTTTAGGTAGCGCCGATCATTAGCTAAGCTGCCCCTGCCGATGAAGTCTAGTCAGCAGTATAATGTATAAACGACTATCAACACAGATAAAAAAAACAATATTATCGGCTACTAACTGTTCTTAAAATATCACTCGATTACCCTGGCGTAATATTACGTAATAATCAGGGCTCGGGACTTAAAGCATTTGCTTATTTTTATGGATTGACTTAAAATGTAGCAGAGTGCTATGGAAGTGTATGTCTTGTTACGACTTACTACACGTTCAGTGCTTTTTTTTGCTTTTTTCATAAATTTTTCAAAAATATGCTTATTCCCAGTTTTTCTACTTTTTTTTTTATGGTTTTATACTGCAAAGTTGTTTTTGATGGAATTAAAATTAAATCATTTAATGCAATAATGAA